CCGAGTGAAAGTAGCCAGGTGACGACCCGTCTGGGCACACGCTCGTAGGCCGGGGTGAACTGGTGAACACCCGCGTCCTGGAGCGCGGAACCCGCCACCAAGTTCGTAGAGAACGAGGGGAGGTAGAGGCCCAACAGTATGCCAGACGGGATAGCAGGACAAGGGAGGGCAGTGGTGGAGGTCACAAGGACCGGACCCCCTGAGGGGTCAGCCAGGGAGACAGCAACCGGTCTAGGGAGCTGCTCTAGGGTAGTGCGGTCGCGAAAGAAACAGCGGGAAGCACCTGAGTCCAGTGTGAAGGTGTGAAGTGCCTCAGTAGGTGCGGTACTAGCAGACGCAGACGCACTAGCACCTAGGGCAGCAGCCTCACCAGGACTGGAGCAGCAGACGCACTAGCACCTAGAGCTGCAGCCTCACCGGTCCTAATACTTGGGTCGGGCGGTACACTCAGGTAACAGTCTCCCTCAAAACTAATAGTCAATGCATACATAGCAGCAAGGATAGCATCATAATCAAGAGCAAAGATATCAATTCCCTTCTTAAGCAGATCAGCCCAGCGGGGCAGCTTAGAGGCGTCGGGAAACTGCTCGCGGTAGGCGTCGTCGAGGCGAAAGAAACAGCGCTGTGCCGTGTGAAATCTCCCACAAGTCTGGCCAGTGCCGTCACCTGTGCGGATGACGTACAGGCAGGTACCCCCACCCCCAGACCCCCCACGCTGAGAGTACCACTCACGGAGCTGCTGGGGCGAGGGAGTCTCACTAGGACGCTGCTGCTGCTGCTTCTGGCCACCGCTGAACCCCCCACGCTGTACCGCTCCACCGCGCCCGCCACCCGCTCCACCGCCACCACCACTACCACCACCACCCCCACCACCTCCACCACCGCCGCCGCCACCACCCCCAGTGCCGCCACCGACCCCCCCACCACCCGCGCCACTCCCACCTCCGCCACCACCCCCGCCCACCCCACCCCCTCCACCGCCGCCGCCCCCACCTCCACCTCCACCACCCTTGCCCCCCTTGCCCTTGCCGCCCTTGCGCCTCCCACTAGGAGCAGACGCGGCCCCGACCCCCTCAGCTCCGAGGTAGTCGACAGCAGCAGCAGATGCAATGGAGGGGAGGAGGGGGGAGGGGGAGCACCCCTCAAAGAAGGGGGTGCGGGGGTCACCACGAGAGGCACCTACAGCTACATTGCTCTTCTCAGCTGCTAGGAGTTCCTTCTCGAGGAGGTCGACAGTGAGGTCAGTGGGGGAAAGGGCGAGAAACTGGTCCCTGACTGTGCGAAGGGAGTCAGGGAGGCGGGTGACAAGGTGGTACAGTGTGAGGTACATCGGGGGGGGGGGCTTCTTGGCGAGGAAATAAAAAAACACAGCACGGTAGCGGAGGTCACTGGTACGGAGGTGGGTGATGAGGTCAGCTACAGTGGCAAAGGCGGACAGGTCGGGGAAGAGGTAGGGCAGTGAGAGACGGCCTATATCAGCAGTGGCAGGGGAGGAGTAGTGCGCGACTACTGCGTCGTACAGCTCCTTAGCGGTCTTATGCTGGTCGAAGTGCTCGCGCTCATCTAATGGCAGGTGGCTGCGAACGGCTAGGCGGGCGTGAGCATCACGGGTCTGCCACTGGGAGCGAGCAGAACTGTCAGCAGTAGCGGGAGGTGCGGGAGCAGCGCCTGACGTAAGGTCATACAGGGAGACATCGTCCTTGGCAGTGATCTGGAGGAACAGGTGGAGGTCATCTAGCCAAACTTCAAACTTAATCGGGCGGCCCTCAGCGTCAAAGGTGAGAATAGAGGGAGTGGCCATAGTGGCAGCAGTAGCAGTAGGTACAGTAGCCGTAGTAGCAGTAGCAGTTGAAGCAGTAGTACGACAAGAACAGGAACAGGAGTTGCTGCAGGTGGGGCACAGTAGGGCGGCGCGGCTCAGGTCGGGCGGCGCGGCTCGGTTCGGGCGGCGCGGCTTGGTTCGAGCGGCGCGGCTCGGTTCGGGCGGCGCGGCTCGGTTGGGGCGGCGCGGCTCGGCTCGGGCTGGGCTACGCGGCGGTGCGCGACGAGGGGCGTGCGCAAGGGCGGCTGTAGCGGGCGGGCCGCGGCTGTGCGTGGGCCTGACTAGCGCGCGGGCGAGCGGCCTAGGGGAGCAACGCGGCGGCCTGCTGGTGGGGCCGCGACGCTCTGGTCGCGCTGGCTGCGACCTGAGGGCGGATGGCTGAGGGTCGCGCGTCGGCCTAGGGGCGAGCGCGGCCTACGGGCAACGGCCTGCTGGGGCTCGCGAGAAAAAAATCGGGCCGCCCTAGGCGGCGGTTTTCCTACGCGCGCTAAAACGACGGGGCCGCGCTCGGGCTGCTAGCGGGCTGCACGAGAGGAGAGCGTACGAGGGCGCACTAGGGGAGAGGCGCACGAGGGCGCTAAAAAAAAATGGGGCGCACGAGGGCACCTCTAGCGGAACGGTGGGCCCTTAGGTCCAGAACCTAAGCTCTTAATACCATGTCAGAAACAAGAAGTGATTGAACTACACAACATTGGAGTACAAGTATGAAACCCTAGAGTTGTGTACCCCCTAAAGGCTAACCCACTATAGCCTACACAGCAATAACACATATATGATGTTTGACACACATAACATTCTGACACACCCCCATAGGCAAAGTGGGGTACAGTCAACACAATAAGCAATCGCATGACTAGGTCATAAGCAAAGGCTAGTCGCAGAACTAGAAGGCAAGAGAGGAGGAGTAGGGACTATGAGAGGAGAGGAGGTAGGAGTCGGCAGCTGAAGCTGCTGGCACACGGGCGACTGGAGCAACTAGCATACAGGCTACCGGAGCAAGGGCATCAGGACTACTGGAGTAACTGGCTCCGCGGCTAAACGAGCGGCTGGAGCAAATGACCCACGGGCGACTGGAGCAACGGGCTCACGGGCTACCGGAGCAACGGCATCCGGACTTCTGGAGCTGCTGGCTTCATGGCGGCTACCTCCTTTCAACCTCCCCCCATTGTCCCACACCCCCTTCAGCATCCCTAGTGTTATTTTTTCGGCTCCCCCACACCCTCCCCCCCTCAGCGGCAGCTGCAGCTGTGGGAGAGAGAGGAGGAGGGAGAGGAGCAACAGCAGATTACTCACACCCGCCACCCCCATACCCGCCACCCCCATACCCTCCCCCCCACGGCTGCACGCGCAGCAGGGAAAGGAAGGAGAAGTGGGGGCGGGGAGGGGGGGGGGGGGGGGAGAAGCTGCTTCGCGGCTACAGAGAGGCGGCGCGCGGGTGCACGGGGCGGCGCGCTGGTGCACCGGGGCGGCGCGCGGGTGCAGCGAAGCGGCGCGCGGGTGAACGGGGCAGCGCACGGGTGCCACGGGGCGGCGTGCGGGTGCCAACAAACCGTCACGCAGAAAACCGCCGCGCGCCCGGGGCGCTTGGCGCGCAGAAAACGTCGCGCAGCTGGGGCGCGCGACAGGCAGGAAAATAGTCACGCGCCCGGGGCGCGCGACTGAAAGAACAACAGCAGAAGCGAACGGTGGGCCCATTGAGGAAGCTCAAGGAAAGAGCCTGCTCTGAATACCATGTCAGAAACTAACGAGCAGGAATGTGAACAGAAAAAGAGGGATTGTACTAGCAGGCAGGTGGAGTACATATAGGAAACCCTAAAAGGGTTATACTCTCTATTGAGTACCCCACTACAGCCTACACAACACATAACATTCTGACACGCACATTTTGCAGCCTCCAAAAAAAACAATCATCGCCGAAGAAACAGCCCCACTCTTGATCTCCGCCGTCGTTCGACTGCACGGGATACCAGCAGCAATAATTAGCGACTCGACACGCAATTTACCAACAACTTCTGGTGGAACCTGTGGCAACAGTTCGGCACACGACTACAATTCAGTTCATTGTACCATCTCGAAGCCGATGGACAGATAGAACGGACAAATCAAACAATGGAACAGTTGATTCGAGCCACATGCGACGACCCGGCAACACGGAACAGCAGCTGCCAGTCATCGAATTTGCATAAAACAACTCCACATCAGCCTCGACGGAGCAGTCACCATTCTACCTCAACTACGGACAAAACCCCAAAGTGCCCATGACCCTGAATCCTGACAACCCGGTACCACACGCTTAACAATTCGGAGAAATTCTACAGGCAGCACGGACCCGAGCAGCAGACTCAATAAAAACATCGAGCATCATCGCTAAACACACAATAATTTCACTCGTTTCTGTTACCACGGTAGCTTCGCTATATATTCTTCGCTCATGCATTCGCTCAATGTACTGTTTTGCTTAGATAGTGCAATTCTAGCTAGCTCTCGAAATTGCACTCGTAACAAAACCTAAACTACGTCTTATCCTTAGCGGTGATGGGCCTTGGGCGGAACAATGCCATTTTCTGTTCACTTCACACAGTTGGCCGAAACTCAATGTTGCCAGAGCGGCTTGCTGCTGTTGCCTCCAGCCGACCAAGCCGCCAAGCGCACCCCGTTGTAACATGTGAATGCCATGCAGCGCAGCACGCAGACAGCTCTTAGTGGCCTACTGGACAGCAAATTCGCAGACGGTGTGGTGCGTTTGAGGAGCGTTAGCGATAACGCCGTACGCAGTACTTGCTATTCTTCCCTTTTGATGACTGTGCTTGATCGATTGTAAAACCTCGAGTACTGATCCTGCACAGGGTTTCTGATCACGCTGGCGTCGAGTAGTGGCTCTTGCACGAAAAATCTGAACACGCAGAAGTCGGTTATCGATTTTCCTGCACAGGATTTCTAAAGACTCTTCCAGAGAGATTTCAGGAGACTGAAACATGGACTCCATGTCGGAAGGGCTGGAGTCATGCAAGCGCTTTTTGTTCTTGAAAACAGTGGGTTCTTTCGGCATCCGCAGACCCGGTACGGTGTCGCTAGTAATCAAAGCTGCGATATTATCTACTAGGGAGAATTGTTTACGCCTTCAGGTTGCTTACGGCATGGAAATTGAATTCTGGCAGTGCACGAGATCGCCGTGAATATGTCCATGATGGACGCCATTCAGTCACTGCTCGACAGTGAGGTGGGACCACGCGCTTCTCTAATCGTGCTATCCCTGCTATTACTATTTGTAGCATTTCGTCGTAATTTGATGCCGTTCTGGCACCATCACGCACATGTTTGTGCACAAGAGTAGCAGGGCCATCTGAATGTGAAATCGTCTCGTGGAATCAGTTCAAGACGCGGCCAAACGGTAGAGGCGTTTATGCATCACCATGATGGTCTTGTATCCCTGGCAGGCGGAGCACGGAGTGATCAGAGTGGGTCCTCTGCCAGACGACTTCACCAGCGCGCTATATACAAAAGAGGCCTTCGCAGCAGGCGCACTGAGAGTCGCGGATCTGGTGGCCTGGGCCGTGGTGGTGAGACTAGCGTCGCTGCTCTGCAAGCACATCCGCTGCCTTTCCTCCCACGACTTATATGAGTAACGTTTTGGTGGCCTCTACGCTAGGGGCATCTTTTGACAGGAACCGTGCGTCACCCGTTTGGCAGGAGCTGGACATGCTGTATGGGTCTGTGCAAGCGCACCGCGGACTGCCAGTGGACAGCAAAGAATTCAAGGTACGGTAGGTGGTACCCATCATTTTACCGGTCCGAATTGACGGCAAGTAGCTAGTTCTAATTGCTTGATCCATATTCACTACCAGTGTACAGAGAGACAGAGAGAAAATAAATAAATATGTAAAGCATCAAGGTGGTTCTATGGTTAAATGGTTGCAGGCGGAGCTTGACAAGGTGAAGAAGAAACCCTTCCGTGACTCATGGAAGTCAGCAGTGGCGACAATCTCTGGTGGCCCCTCCCCTTGCAAGAGTGGCAGCGGAATGTCAGCATGTGAAGAATGCCCTTCCTCAAAGGAATCCAGGGGCAAAAGGCAAGCAGCAGACCAGGGCAGGCAAAAACAATCCTTTCCAGAGAGGCGCAACCCTGGAACATTGCTGTGGCAGCTGCAGGAGCTGCAGCAGTATGTGCGAGTGCCTGTACGTTTACGGCTACCACCACTCCTGTCAGCTATTTTGCACCAGCAGCATGGACGGCTCTACCGAGATACATCCATTCATTATTTTCTTACTAATCTTGTTCCGTGGAGCTACACGCTGTGATGTAAGAGATTCCTGCTCTCTGTCCTTCATGTTTCGCCCTGCTCATCACAGCTGAGAGCGATGGCGCACTCCACCAAGTGCTTGCCTGTGTTCCCGCTCGCGGAGACAGACAACATGCTGCACGTGCTGCAGATACTGGCACACTTGGACGACTCTATCGTGCTGCTGCCGGGCAACAAAGGCCACTCCGACTCCATCATCACTCAGGTCCGCTCCCGCGATACTGGTTGCAAGCATGACCTATGAAGTGCGGCCATGCGTGCTTCCAAGCACGCCTCATGCTCCCCGTCATCACTCAGCTCCACCCCCCTCGATCCTGCTTGCAAGCACACTTCATGACTCATAAGGGCTTGTCCAAAGGCGGCTACACATGTTATGCTTCAGTGGTTTGAGATTGACGGCTGCGTGTGGTGGCTGTGGTGGCTGCAGGAAGATATGTTCCACCAAGTGGCGTTGATAGCACAGCATGACCCGTGGGCATCATACCTGGACCAGGTCACCATCGCCATGTGCAGGTGAGCCCACCCTATGCCCTCTGCCCTCTGCTTCCCATCTACCCATCTACCCAGCTATCCAGCTACCCAGCTTCAGAGCACTTCCTCCCACTCACACAACCTTTCCTTCCTTTCGGTCAAAGTGTCGTCCAGTCTCAGGGTTCCCTCTTCCCGACAAGCCTTTAGCGAACCCCGAAACCCTGCACATTCTCCTCCTCCACATTACCTCCTCATTCATCCACCCTCACCACCCTCGACTTCCTCTCTCCTGCGCCCCGCCCTCGACCCCCTCCCTCCTTCGCCGCCCTCGGGTTGCGCCCTCCTCCCTGCCCGTTCGCATTCCCCACGGCAGCGAGGCAGTGGTGCAGCCAGTGAGGGTGCACGCCGCATGTCCGTTGCCAGAGGCCGTGCGGTCCATGTGGGTGTGCCACGCGGGGGAGGCCGTGGTGGACAGCGGAGAGGGATTGGGGGAGCGGGAGCGGGAGCGGGAGGGGGAGTGGGAGGGGGAGGGGCAAAGGGATGGGGGAGGGGAAAGTCGGAGGGGGGGGGAAGGGTTGGTGACGTCATCCGCGTATGACGTCCTGCGATTGCGGGACCTCGAGTTGCTGATGGATCTCAACTGCTCTCCCGCCGACCTCAGGTATGTATCGCACGCGCGATTTTTCGCTACGCACGACGACTTTGTCTCATGCTACCGAGCCTAGCGCGTGTCGCGCGCGAGCGCTGCGTGATCTGACTGAGACTTTGAACTAAGGCGCGAGGCTGCCTGGTGCCGTGCAGGGACCTGCCCGTGGCGGATTTCCTGAACGTCGTGAGAACCCACGGCGGAGGGGGCGCGGTGGCGAAACATGTGACGTGCGGCGCGGCGAACACTATGCGCGAAGTGATAGTTGCGATGGCGGATTCGGGAGGGGCGGCCATTGTGGAAATGCGAGGGGATGCCGTGGGATTGGTGTCCGCAGGGTCCGTTGTGAAATGGCTGTGGCAGACGATGCTCCCCCCTGCCCTAGTTACGTCTTTCTAGCGTTGAATGCGGTCGGATCGGACAGCTGCGGTGAGCGTCAGGACGAGACCAGACGAAGCCAGCACATTCGCCAAAATCGCATGCCATTGCCATGCTTCACCACATACCATCGCCATGCCATCCATATGAGATGGTGCGAACTGGATGGCCAAGTAAATAAAGTTGCCAACACCTCAACATTTCTTTTGTGCACTTGCATTGCGATCTTTGAGAGGTGTTACGAGTGCAATTGAGTTGTTATGAGTTGTACGAAAGAAGAGTGCGCAGAATGCAATATCGCGGAAGTGATTACAACTAATGAGCAAACAACGAGGCCTAGGCATAATATAGCACAGCTAGCTAAGCCAAGGTCGTGAAGTGTCAGAATGTTATAATTGTCAAGCCTGCAGTGGGGTACTCTATAGCGAGTACAACCCAATTAGGGTTTCCTATATGTATGCCAACTGCTGCTAGAGCAACCATTCCTCATTTCTTTACATGCTATCAGAGCATCTACGCTCCTGGCCTGTGGGCCCACCCAACTGCTTCCGCTGCTACTCTGTGTTCTGCATGCCCCATGGCGTACCCTTTCGCGGCCCCTTCACGGCCCCGTCGCCGCCGCTCTAGGCCCCGTCGCCGCCGCTCTAGGCCCCGCCGCCGCCGCTCTAGGCCCCTCGCGGCCCCTTCACAGCCCCGTCGCCGCCGCTCTAGGCCCCGTCGCCGCCGCTCTAGGCCCCGTCGCCGCCGCTCTAGGCCCCTCGCGGCCCCTTCACGGCCCCGTCGCCGCCGCTCTAGGCCCCGTCGCCGCCCCTATAGGCCCTTCGCGGCCCCTTCGCGGCCCCGTCGCCGCCCCTATCGGCCCCGTCGACGCCTCCAGCGGCCCCGTCGCTGCCCCTAGCGGCCCGTCGCCGCCCTTCCAGGCCCCTCGCGGCCCCTTAGCGGCCCCGTCGCCGCCCCTATCGGCCCCGTCGCCGCCTCCAGCGGCCCCGTCGCCGCCCCTTACGGCCCCGTCGCCGCCCCTTTCGGCCCTGCCTCGACCCAGCCCCAGCCATGCTCCGTCGCCTGTCGCGGCGCACCGGTGGCACGTGCACCGCCCCCCCCCTCTTTTCCCGTCGCCTGTCGAGGCGACCTGAGGGGGCCGCATGCGGGCGACCTTGGGGGGGGGGGGGGGGGCGAGCGTCGCCCCTTCTGCCGCCTGCTTTGGCGCCCTGGGAGGCCGCGCGTCGCCCCCCCCTTCCCCCCCCCGTAACCTCCCTACCCGCCATCCCGCCCTGCCTTGTGTTAGGGTTTGGGGGTGGCGAGTAGGGGGTGGCGGGTGTGTGGTCTCCCCTGCTCCTCCTCCTCCTCTGTCTCCCACTGCTGCAGCTGCCGCTGAGGGGGGTGGGTGTGTGGGAGTCGACGGAGTGGTGCTAGGGGGTGGGGTGTGAGTGAACCTAGGGTGCAGCAAGGGGTGTGTGACAAGGGGGTGCTGTGGGAGTAGAACTAAGGTTTGAGCAGGGGGGGTGTGTCGAGAGGTGTGGGGCAGCTGGAGGAGGTTGTGTGAAGGTAGCTGTCGTGTCGCCTGCAGCGCCTGTAGTCCGTCGCCCTTGCTTCAGAAGCCAGTGAGCCTGTTGCACCAGTTGCCGGTGGGTCCGTTGCTCCTGCCGCTCGTCTATAGCCGCGGAGCCAGTTACTCCAGTAATCCGTCGCCCTTGCTTCGGTAGCCACTGAGCCAGCCGCTCCTGTGCCCGTGCCTCTGCAGCTTCAGTCCTTGCCTCCCATCTTCTCTCCCTCCACAGTTCTGTTGAACAAGAATGGATGAACTAACAGTGAAAATGAGTACAAGTGTGAAAACCTAGTAATGTGTACCCCCTATAGGCTAACCCACTGTGGCCTAAACAACTACAACAACATATATAATGTTTGACACACCCCCATAGGCAAAGTGGGGGAGAACTAGGGGTCACAAGACCAGTCAAGTAAAGCAAAGCAAAGCAAAGCAAGCTCAGGGTGGATCACAACGTCACCACACAATCCGAGCACAAGTGCAAGGCCACAAGGCCAGTTCACATGCAGGAGTACATATATATATATATATATAAGACTAAACAAGCAAGAGCAGTGATATATATATGTAACAGTACAAAGAGGGTCAAGAGGAGAGCAAGTGAGGCAAGACAGACACAAGACCCAGCTGGGTACAGCAGCGCTGATGATCACAAGGCGGAAGTGCCTTGGTGAACACATCAGCAATGTTGGCCTTAGAGGCCACGTACGCAAGTCGCAACTGACCACGCTGCTGTAGCTCACGAGCAAGGAAGTAACGAAGAGCAATGTGCTTTGTTCTGTGCTCCAGTCTCTGCTCCCGACACAAGGCCAGCATGGCCTTGTTGTCGACGTACAGGACTGGAGGAGAACGAGGCGGCTCTCCAAGGTCGGTCAGCAGGTAGGTGAGCCAGCGAAGCTCCTGAGCAGCCATGGCCCCTGCGTAGATCTCAGCCTCACAACTGGAGCCGAGAAAAGAAGACGAGCGAGTAGCCCGCCACGAAATAGAGCCGGAACCAAGGCTGAAGGTGTAACCCTGTGACGACCGCTGCGTAGCCTGGTCGTCAGCCCAAGAAGCGTCTGCGTGTCCAGTGAGGACCATTGGACTCCGCCCTCCAAGCACTAGTCCCATGCCCGACGTACTGCACAAGTAGCGCAACACCCTCTTCGCTGCAGCCATGTGCTCTGGTCCGTGTCTCCCAGGAGCAACATAGCGTGCAAGACTGCTAAGAGGGTATGCAAGGTCAGGTCGTGTGCAGGTCATCAGGTACATGAGACAGCCAACAAGCTTTGGGTACGGGCCACTCGACTCTACGGACTCATCCGAAGGCAGAGCTGAGATTGAGTGGCGAGTAGGCAGAGGAGTGGCCTGAGGCGAGGAGTACGTGAAGCCGAAGCGCTGAAGGACCTGCTGCACCATGTGTGACTGAGTCAGGGTAATGGTGCGGCGTGCTCTGTCCCGGGTGATTTGCAAGCCAAGGTAGCTGCGCAGTTCACCCAGGTCAGTGCACGTGTGTCTCTTCTGCAGCACAGACTTCACGTAGGCGAGTCCAGTAGTGTCAGCTGTGGCAAAGACCAAGTCGTCGACGTACACGAGGATGTAGAACGGCGGCAGAGAGGTGTCGGTGCGCAGAAACAGCGACGGGTCGGCAGTAGAAGGAGCGAACCCAAGAGCCGCAAGCGTAGTCCTCAGTGTGTCGTGCCACTCACGTGGCGCCTGGCGGAGACCGTAGACTGGACGCCGGAGACTCCACTGGGTACCAGGAGGGAAAGACCCAGTGAAGCCAGGTGGGCGGCGCAGCCAGATCTCCTCGTGCAGGCTGCCCTGCAAGAAAGCTGTGCTGAAGTCGAGAGAGTGCAGCTCGTAGTCCCGGTGAGCAGCAATGTGCAGCAGTACCCGAAGAGTGGTCATCTTCGGGGTGGGGGAGAAGGTCTGAAAGTAGTCAACTCCCTGTCGCTGACTGAAGCCACGAGCCACGTAACGCGCCTTGAAGACAGGCGGAGAACCCGGCGGCCGCTTCACCCTGAAGATCCACATGCCACTGACGATGTTCGCCCCAGGAGGGGGGACGGCGTCAACGTAGGTGCCTGTGGACTTCCAGGAAGCCATCTCTGCATCCATAGCTGCCTGCCACTGAGAGGAGTAGGGACCCTCTATCGCCTCCGCGTAAGAGCGCGGAGTCGGGATGTCAAGTGCATCCGGGTCTCCCTCAGGGGTAAGCAGTACGGACACGAGATGAGGTGAAGCAGCGGCCAAGCACTGGAACTCCTCCTGCCTGTCCTCAAGGACGTCCGTGCCAAGGGCACACGCACCCCCGACGGACGGAGGACAGACAGACTCAGACTCAGCGACAAGACTCGCAGTGTAGTCTAGGCGACAGCAAGCAGCAAAGTCGACGAGCTCAGCAACTAGGGCAGACGCAGCAGAAGACTCAAAGGAAGGGTCAGTGACGGCTGTAGCAAGGAGACGCGTGACAGTAGGACTAGCCGCACG